TTAAAACAGGTGAATTCCGAGAAATTGCTTAAAATCAAAACTTCCACTTGGCTCAAAACTAATACAAATGAAATTCTGATTATGTCCCACATTCCTACCGAAATATTTAAAGCCCCTGTTTTCGAAATTATTCCCTACCCAGATGAAGACAATAACATACTAACAGAGAACACGATCAATAAGTATTTCCTACATGATGAAAAAGTATTTGATAAAGAAACAGGAAAGATTGTATTTGACGAATGTATAAATGGAATAATTAAACAAGAAAATACAGGTTGTAAATACACTAAAACTCATAAAAATTTTCAAATTGATTATATTGAACCAAATATTTTATTGACATGGAACATCCCTAAAACATTTTTAAATCAAAATTGCATTAATAAAGAAATTTCTATAAGCGGAAGTAACCTTATCAAAATCCTTAATTGTTCGGTTCAATTGAATGAATTTATCCTTTCAAATACAATGGCAGATTACACCCAAACAGTTTATGTCAGTAATAATGTAACAAAACTAGAACCGCTAGCATATATCCAAACAAAAGAAATTATAAAAACACACACAAAATATTATAATGTATTCCAAATAATAACAACAACTACTTTTATAATTACAATTATAAGTTTATCTTTGTATCTATTCTATAAGTTCAAAAGTTTACCGAAGAAACTAATTGTAAAATATGTAAAACCAAAGGAAGAAACACCAAAGATTCCAGAAATTGTAAACGATCAACCTAATATGAACATAGGAGAGCATCTCATGTTATACCCAAATCTATCGACCTGAGGACAGGCCAAATTCAAAGGTTGGGGGAGTGACATATCCATAGCATTATACATAAACTATGTAAATGTCCACACACCCACACACTCACACATACACATTAAGTATTTGTCAGAACTTACCCTTGAGACTTAGATTCAAATAGGCAAATGCACCGAACATGATCCTAGCCCAAATCAGACCTAAACATAATTGAGGATGGAAAAGTACTTATAAACAAAAATCCTCAGACTAAACAGACCGAGGGAAACATGCATTCAGCACGTTCCCATAATTCAGATCCCCAAACCCAATCGTAAAACTCAAATTTCGGGACCAAAGACAAAAACAAATTCAAAAGCAAGAATCCAAAGTCCAATCGGGAAAGTTCTCAGCCTAAACAATAAAACACACTCAATTAGAATAAACACACTCAAGTAAAGCTCGAAAGCTCCAAAACCGAGGTTTGATCGTAAAAGAAGTCAGAGTTAGGAGTGAAGTTCAGTTTAAGATCTACAAGTAGTAGGTTGGTGTTCTTCAAATAAAGAATATTTGTAACCAGTTGGACATAAGAAAAATAAAGATAATTTTTTTTATTGAAAACTTATGGTGCAAACATTTAATTATATATATGTATATAGAGGAGGATACCATACCCTCTCTCGCTCAAGTGCCACTCGTCCGGGCGGGCGAGCGAGCGAGCGAGAGGTTTTGTTGGAGAGGGAGCGAGAGCTACTACTTACAACAAGGACATGCGGCTATCTCGCTCTGGAGCGAATGGTGGTGGATTCTAGCTGGTGGTTGAATGGGCCACTCACATTGTTGCCGTGTATCCTTGTTGAAAAGGACATGAGAAGCCACTTAGCGCGCCCAACAAAGCCGAGAGTCTCTCCAGTATCTCTCTTAGTATTAGTATAGCTCTTCTGTATGTGTGTGTGTATCTGTGTTTTATATACCAATGGCAGAGGGATGCAGATGCAGTACTTGGGACTACTACTCTATGTATATGTGTGTGTGTGTGTGGTTTTTGGTACTTTTCTGCTGTTGGCCGACTTGGCGGACCTGGACTCGTGTCGAGTTCTTGATGCCTCGTTAGTTGTTGATGACACTTCAGTTTGGAATGTTTAGAGTGCGCTCCGATCCGTGCAACATACAAAATAAAACCCGAAATAAAACCCAAAAAAAAAAACGGAATACACCCATCATCCAACTAAGTGACCCCTGAACTATGACACTGGACTACCATTCCTAAAGCTCTGCTTTTTTTAAAAAAGGATACTCTCAGCCAAGTGACACATCAAGTGATTATAATTATTGTTTTTTTTTTACCGTGTTTTATCACAAAAAAAATCTTTAAAAAATTAAATCTTAAAAATAAAAAATCAAATTTGAAAAAAAAAATCCTTCAAAGTGGCGGAAAAACGGAAAAGTCCGCCCACGCCGCCGCCTGTGCCGCAGCCGCAGCGTCGAAAATCAAATTCCGGATCTACGCCACCGCCGCCCAGCAGCGAGATGACCAGTTCCGGATCCTTGGAAAGGACACCCACCAAACGGGAACGGGAGCGGGAACGGGAACGAGACAATAGCAGTGGATTGGGCAGCGCCGGCAGCTTGCCCGCCTCGCCGCAAAGCGCCATCACTGTGAGTCCTGCCTCCCCGGCCACGCCCACCACACCAAAACGCCCCCTACGCACCTCCACTCCTTCTCTGGAACGCGAGAAGGAGCGCGAGAGGGAACGAGAAAGGGATCGGAATCTGGATCGGGAGAAGGAGCGTGAGCGTGAGCGGGAACGGGAACGAGATCGTGAAGATCGCGACCGTTCCGCCAAAATCTTCAGCACCGCCAGCACCACCGTGCCCACAAATACGAATCCCTCCTCGGGACTGGCGCCCGAGCATCTGCGCATCCCGACGGGAGCCGCCGCCTTTAGCGGCTTCCCCGGACTCCACAGCATGAGCAGCCTGATGGTGCCATCGTCGGCGGCAGTGGCCGCGGCGGCGGCTGCTCCCTTCCTGCCCTGGTCGCCCATATTGCTGCCGCCGTGGAGCCATGCCCTGCTGCCAGCCGCCTTTTATCCGGCGGCCTTGAGAAATGCTCTGCCCGGGTAAGACTTTTTAAAAGGATTTTTTGTGGGGAGGGAAGTGGTGGGGGGTTGTTGGGTGGGGGATATGGATATATAGGATATGGGTTTATAATATGAGAAGATTTGGTTTATAGGAGACTGGATGTCGGTATAGGACTTGGAGGCTATTTTGGGTAATATTATTGGGCTTAAAGGGTTTGGGAATTAAGTCAAGAACTGATATTTTGAGGTAATATCTTTATGATCTATTTGGTTTAGTATTAGCTGGTTCTATATATTTTTCTATGGTTAACTTTTGGATGATCTGGATAGGAACTATAGGAACTGGATATTCAGGAACTGTATATAGGTTTTCAACAATATTATCATGATTTTCTTGAAATACTTTTGTATTTGAAATAGTTTCCATATCTTAAATACAAAATTATAGATCTATATAGGAAGGAAATAGGTTCCCTTTACAGTCCCCTTTAGAAGGTATATCTATCCTTATCTCTAAACTAAACTAAACTATCTAAAGTTTCCTAAAAAACACACTATATTATTTCTTCAAGTATAGTTAGGATTTGGGACTAGTCCTAAGATCTTTATAGGTAGGATTCCACTTCCAGTTATCCTATTTCCTATCCTAATCCTATTTTTTTTTATTGTCTTATAACTAGATCTTATAACTAACTAACTAGAAACACTCTTCTATTTAAATCTTTAACTCTTCCTCTATATTTTCTATATAAAATATCTTATATATTTAATATCTTATATCTCTATAAACATACCCTAATATCTTCTGATATAAAATACCCAAAACCCTCCCATAACTTTCTCATCTCTCATAACCAGGATCCCCTTGTGATCCTTTTTAAAGCCACTCCTGGCCCTCAGCTAAGCTCTTCTCCTAAATCACATCATCACACCTCTGCCAGCCCCGGGGCTCTGTATTAGTTCAAGTTCCAATGCCGCAAAAAAAAAATAAACCACTAATGGACTTGTCCGGCTAATCCCGACGGGAGGCCACTTGCCAAATTAGTTAAATCCCCGATCCTAATATATAGGATGGGATGGCAGGATGGCGGAACGTAATTCCCCCGTTTCAGAGACCGGCAAGTACTCAAGGTCCTGGGTGTGTTGTTTTGGCGATTGGGAAATTCTATGATGTCCTGCGGCTGGCCTGGCTTAGAAATTCCCGACTGGCCGATATGGAATCGGAGGGAAACCCCAATATCCTGCAAACATGTGTGCAGCAGACAGAGGCAGACTCGCACAGGACTCGGGACACGGCGATCTATGGCGATTCCTATTCTGGCGTCACACTGTCTGGCCCAGAAGAAAGGGAATTCCGCACAGGACGACGGGGAATGCCCCGATCTTGTGTGTGTCCTGTGTGTCTGATATCCTGGCGTGGGAATTTCTCAAGACGAGAATTGGGAAAAACTCGAGGTGGAAAAACCGGAAGCAAACAATCTTCCAACTTGCGCCAACATGTGGCAGGCATGACCTGTTCGACCTGCCGTACGCAAGGCACCTGACCCTCACTGACCCTAACTGACCCGACCAGAGGCAGGTAACCCAACCGAGCAGATCGATTTGCGTTTTTAATTGTTGATGGATGTGTTTAGAATGCGGGGACTAGGTGTCAATAATCCACCGATTTGTCTACACTTAATCAAAGTTAATTCCGTATCCCTCAAGGTGAGAGATTTTCACCATATCCTGGCAGATCCTTGGCAGATATCCTTTTGAGGGGCAAGTGCGAAAATCTTGTGAAAATCTATTGAAAAATCTGTGAAAGTCAGAGCGCGGCAGGTAGCCCTAGAAGAGATCCTAACATGCTTTCGGAAGATCCTTGCAGCAGTATCCTTTTTGGGTATCCTTTTGTTGCATCTTCCGGCCATTCATAAGATCGTTCACCGGATGTAGCAACTATCCGAAGTCCGGACAATTGAATCCAGAAATTCATGGGTCATCGTCTGCTATTCACAATTAATCATCTAGAGATGGGAGGTTTGATGGCAACTCTTTTAATCAGAGTTGTCTAGTAGAGAGTTCTGATAGCTTCAGTCTCTTGATTTAGTTTCTAGTTTTAAGATCAGTAATCAGTAAAAATAATAAAAGAAAACCTAACCCCTTTATCCTTTATCCTTTTAGCCTTTTTGACGCCAAAGTGCCGTCGTCGCAACGCTCTGGCTTCCACATATCGGACATCCTCAACCTGGAGGGCTCCGAGCTGAAGAACGCCGCTGCGGCCGCCGCTGCTGCCGCCCATCATGGCAGCGATCTGAGCCACCACCACCACCACCCCCACCATCATGCGGCAGCAGCCGCCGCAGCGGCAGCGGCGATAGCTGGTGAGACGGCCGGCGGTAATGTGGGGCATGCCACGCCATCAACCTTGTCGCCGACACCGGCCGGTGGAACTACGGCCGCCTCGGCGACGGGGACAGGAGCGGGCGGTGGAGAGGAGCAGCATTCCGGATCGGTGGAGCATCACACCACCGAACACCATGCCCCGCCGCAGCATCCGCACCACCACCAGCAGCCGCATCATGCTGCCCACCTGCAACACCATCAGCACCACCAGCAACCGCAGCCGGGCCAGGGCCAGCATCCGCACCACCAGCAGGCGGTGGCGCCTCTTCCCCTGCCCCACCATCAGGGTGGTGGTGCGGGTGGCGATGTCAGTCATGCCCATACCGCCGCCGCTGCCCATCTGCTGGCCAGCCACAATGCCGCCGCTGCGGCAGCCGTCGCCGCCGGCCAATATCTGCCGAATCTGCCCAAGAACTTTGCCGGTAGCTTCCAGGACGAGATGTCCTCGTACCATCACATGGCCCAGACCATGTTGCAGCACTCGGGACGAAGTGCCTGGATCAAGGAGAATGAGATCTATGGTGAGTTCTTGTTCTAGAGTCCTGTAGAGTCCTGTAGAGTCCTTTTTGAAAAAAAAATAATAATTGCCAGCCACTCGTTGGGTCAGTCGAGCGATGAGTCGAGCAGCTGTGTTTGCATAGCCGCTCGCGAGTCCTTGGGCAGCAGGATATGCAGGATTCAGGTGCTACCAGGCCCACACCCAACCCTCGTGTTCTTTTTTTTTTTTTTTTTTTTTTGAGGGTTGGGGCAGTCGTTGTGCACCCCTCTCTCCTATAATCTTGACTAATAGTCGGTATGCGCTTCACACTTCAGGATTAGTCCTGTTGTTGTCCTTTCCGTTTGGCAAAAAAAAAAAAAACAAAACAAAAATGAAAAAAAAAAGGATAGTCAATCGTTTCGATCGACTCCTTGTTGTTGTTGCGAGCCAAACATTCGACTCGTCCTGGAAATTTATGGCACGCACTTCCGCCTCGTCCTTATGGATATCCTTTTTTTTTTTTTTTATTATTCCAACAAATTATAATTGGCGTTCTTTTTTTTTGGTTTTTGGGAATTTTCACAGCTGTGTGATTATATTAAGTTATTAATTTTGTTGAGGTTGTCATGGTGAAGAGTTGAGTTTAGTTTTAGTTTAGTTTAGTCCTTGGATATCCTTACCACGCCCTGATGATAAATCATCATCAAAAGTGGGCGAAACGTTAGAGCCCATTGATGGGATGGTCTGGATGGTCTCGATGGGTGTTTTCTGAGGTTTGGCTTTTGTTATCCTGCCTGCAGGACGACCCATTCAAGGTCAACAGTCACAAAATCAAAGTGTCGGATCAGGTAGAATATAGGATCCTTTAGGGAATCCATCTAATTGACATTATTAGCCAAGAGACCCATGTCTGTGGTCCAGCTATAGGGGTGTGTGTTTACGGGGGTAACCCCCTTAACAAGGGTTGCTCCTGACACCAATGATGTACATACATCTGGCATTTGGCCACAGCCTCATGTCGCGCCTAATCCAATTTGCAGTCCTATACCCCCCTCCACCTCCTATAGATCCTTTTTTTTTTTTGCCTGATCATTCATAGATCCTGCGGAGGTAGGGAGGGAGGTACCACAGACGGGGTGTGTCGGTGCATTAATTTATGGCCAGAAATAGAAAAGAAAAATTAAATAAAACACAAAAAGGCATTTGAATTGCTGACAAATTCCCACCCAGCACCCGGGCACCATGTCCTTTGTGTCCTTGATCGGTTCGGTTGCCTTGAATGGAGAGGAAAAATACAAAAAAAAAGGATATTACTAGAAAAGGAAAGGAAAAGGATATAAAAAAACAGAGCTACCATTTTGTTTTGTTTTGGTAATTGGGGTTAAAAAATGGCGTTTATTAAAAATACTATTTAAAAGGTATTAAAAAATAAAGGGAAATTTCTAAGGTAATGCGAAAATGGATTTATTTTTAAGGTTTTTCTATCTTTAAAGTTTAAACCTTCTCTAATCAATAAACCCTTTTTATTTTTTGTATCCTTGCAGGCAACCAACAACCCGCCAGCCCCGACAGCACCTCCCCAGTGACCTCGGAAGTGTCGTACACCTACATCGGTTCCAATTGCCAGACCTCGCCGGCCCTCTCCGGGGACTACAAGTCCTACAGCCGGTCGGCGGACAGCGATGCCTTGTCCGTGGGCGATGCCCTCAATTCGATGCACGGCCCACCCGGCGGAGCACCGTCCGCTGGAGGACCTTCCGCTGCTCATGTCCTGCACAATAACAACAACAATACCACAAATAATAACAACAATAGCCTGAAGCACGACGGGATAAACGGAGGAGGAAGTAGCAACCATGATGATAGTCTGAATGAGGATGGGATCGAGGAGGATATCGATGATGTGGATGATCCGGACGGTAGTGGGGGCGGTGGTGGTGGATCCGGGGATGGGATGCCGAATAAGAAGCGAAAGCGCAGGGTTCTGTTTACCAAGGCCCAGACCTACGAGCTGGAGCGACGATTCCGCCAGCAGCGCTACTTGAGCGCCCCGGAGCGGGAGCACCTGGCCAGTCTGATCCGCCTGACGCCCACCCAGGTGAAGATCTGGTTCCAGAACCATCGCTACAAGACCAAGCGGGCCCAGAACGAGAAGGGCTACGAAGGCCATCCGGGCCTGCTGCACGGCCATGCCACCCATCCGCACCACCCGTCGGCCCTGCCCTCGCCCCGCCGCGTAGCGGTGCCTGTCCTGGTGCGCAACGGTAAGCCCTGTCTGGGCGATCCCACCTCCAAGCTGGGACCCGACTGTGTCGCCTCCGCCACGGCCACCGCCATGCAGAATGCGGCCGCCGCCCACCACCTGGTGGCGTTGAATGGGGCGGCCGCGTACCAGCATGCCGCCGCTGCTGCCGCCGGCCTCCATGCCCATGCCCATGGAATGGCCCACGCCCATGCCCAGCACGCCCACGCCCAGGCGCGCTGGTGGCCCTAATATTGTTAGTAGGGGCCTGGAGCCACTCGAATAACTAAAAAAAAACAACAAAACAAAACTAATACAAGAAATGGGTTAAATGCAATATAACTGAAGAAAAAAAACATAAATGGAGGGAATTTCACTTGAAAATTAAATTGAATTAAAAAAAAGGAAAAAAACACAGAAGATGAAGCCAAAAAAAATAAAACTTAAAATTAAATCACAACTAGTTGGTAGCTACACATTCCTGTAAATAAGTTAGAGGGGAAATATAACCCAAAAAAAAATTATAATAATAATAGCCAGTAAACGAAAGGCCCCAACAACCTAAAGGTTTTACTTAGTCAGGGGTTTAAAAATTAAAAACTAAAAAAAAATGACAGGAAAGACCATAGTATAGAGTTCAGAGTTCAGAAGCAATACTTCCAATAAATTACTTCAGTCGGTTCCTGTCTAGATCCACAAAACATTTAATAATACTTTTTAAAAATCTTAAAAAAAACTAGCCATTCCTAATTTTTTTTTTCTTTTTTTTTCATAGTTCTAAGAAAAATAACTAAAAAAACTGTAAATATTAAAAATTTAAACACAAAAAAAAATAAACCCTAAAGGCAATGCAACTTAAACTGTACTATATTATCAAGCATAATTAGTGTTCAAATTTTTTAGAAAGAATTTAATAAACAATACCAATTTTTTTTTTATTAATATATAAAAACATAATTGTAGACATTTAGTTGTAACTAACAATTTTTTTTTCGTGTGTGTGTGTGTTTAGCAAGTAATGAAAAAAAAACTCTTTGAATTTATAGTCAGTAATGAGTTCGTAAATGTTAACAAAAAATTTAAAAAAAAAACCAAGAAAGACAAAGGACTAAAGACTACAGACAGACAGACAGAACTGCAAAAAAATACATTTTAGAAATTTAATAAAAACCATTTACAAAAATATTACAAAAAAAAAATATTAATATATAAATGCATTTTTAATATCATTTCAAACATTTTGATGTTTGAAACACCCTTTGCACACTTTTATGGTCTCGTAAAAGAATTCCTCGGGCCGTATAAAATTGTTGGACAGACCATAAATATGGTCTTGATTATGGTTGTTAGCTACCGTTCTACGATTGGCATCGTAATCCATCCGCCTGGCAGTTTCGCTCCTGATTACGACGCCACCAAAACAATATTTCCCCACCCATAAAGCCATTGGGTTACCAGATAAGGAGGTGCCCAAAAAAAAAATATATATATATGTAGGTATATATGTATACAAATCGGGCCAAATGGTTTTGGTCGTGTGTCTCGAATATAATTATACCCGGTACTCAAGGACAGCCATATTTCTTATTGTCTCTGAGATTTGAGTGCTTCAACGAATCAATTGTGGATTATCTAGAATATATACCATTCTATTATGGTATAACATTCTAAACTGAAGAGCAATTGAGGAACGAATAAAGGCTGATGGCTACGGGCAAGGTTATCTATCTATCTATCAGCTCCCTCTCTTGGGCGGACATAGAAAATCTCACGAAATCTCATTAAATGCTGGGAAAAGGAATAATCAGTCTTGATTTTTGTAGAATATATGTATACTCGAATATTTTAACAGAACTTTCACAACTGAAGAGTAATTATAAAACAAATAAGCTCTGAGGCCAATGAAAAAGGTTATGTATCAGCTCCCTCTCTTAGGCGGACATAGAAAATCCCACAAAATTTCCACCAAGAGCTGGAAAAATCCATAACCTGTTAAGATTTTATGAAAATCAATACATTTTATGGTTTAAGTTTCTGTTAGAACTCTGAAAACAGATCAGCTCCCTCTCTTAAGCGGACATAGAAAAGTGGTCATCTCAAAAAATTCCATCCAAAAGCTGGGAAAATCCTTAAACTCTTAAGGTTTTATGAAAATATATACATATTATGGTTTAAGTTTCTGTTAAAACTCTGAAAACAGATATTTAGACCTATGGTTATATATCATAGATCAGCTCCCTCTCTTAAGCGGACATAGAAAATCTACCAAAAAGCTAGAAACCTGAGCAATCAAAATATGGGAATACTAAAAATTAATTAAGAAATATCTAAAGTATGCAAATTTTATGGTTTAATATTCTCTAAGAACTTGGAAAATAAATATACAGACAAGGAATAAAAATAAGCTCCCTCTCTTAAGCGGACACTCATAATCCCCCGCTGTACTACCAGGTATCCATAGCACTCTGTCTGCCTGGTGGCTACGATATGGATCCGATTAACCACCCATCAGAGCCTTAATATATATACATATGTATATATATAATAATAATAATATTTTTAATGCCAGAGAGGCGAGTCGTATCTCCAGGCCCGACCGGGACACTACACTGGTGACACATTTGGCAAATAAACAACTCGAAGTCAAGTAGAGGCGCTGGAGTATCTCATAAAATAGAACGAGTGCTATTCTAATAAACGACAAATTAAATTACTCATCAATGGAATACTGGCACTTGGATCAAGTGGAGCCACATGCCCACCAGCCACTAGCCGCTAGCCGTCGCTGAAATAAAATAGATTTCCTATTAAAAATATTAAATTAAATAAATAATACTATAATGCAGTGGACAAATTCCAATTCGAATTCGACACACAATTTTTTATACACACACCAGTCATAAAAAACAAAACGATTGCACTTGAAGTGCCATAAATACTGCCCCTGCATACGCTCTACGTTCTAAACTTGTTTGCCACTTTGGTTAATTATACTTTTATGATCCATGGCAACTTGTGTGTATAAACCACAATATTGGGGATCCATCTCAATTAGGGGGTAATTGAAAGAGGGAGTACTGACCACTACGGAAAAATAGAAAAAAGGTTCTCTAATCACTGGGGGTCCCAATCATGAGGAATGGTCATGATTGGCACTTGACCAAAATTTAAGTACCAATTGTGCTTAAACTATAGAGATTAATCAGCCATTTTCATGGTTAATTAATGGACTAATTATGTTTATTACTATGACTATACTATAAGAAGTTTAAGACCTTTAATAGATCAACAGAGGAACCATTAAAAACTTTGATATCAATGACATATTTAATCCCTAATCCCCGAAGTATTACCTCTATGAATACATAACTCTAGGATCGTAAACCCCATCCAAAAAAATCGTAGCACGCAATGGCCCTTGGGGCAGCAAATTACCAGAAGTACATAATTGCTGCACCCGTTTATTGGGGGCCCCAGCCCCCCAATAATAACCCGCTTGAATGGCAATATGGCCATAAAGTAATCGATTGGACCCCGGATAGTACCCCCGATCAGCACCCGCTACCCCAATCGTAGCTAGTATCCGGGGGGTACAGTGGAGTGGCGGAGTGTGGGAGTGTCTGAAATCCAGGTACACCCCAATACCCAAGTCCGGTAATCGTAATCGCCTTCTAATCATTTGCATACCCATATCGCTCGGATCGGATCGGATCGTACAGGATGTTGATTATGCCAATACGAATATATATACATACATTATGTCTTATATATATATGTATAATTATGTGTGTTTTGGTATAATACGCAAACGGCGGGTATATGGCCCAGTGAGTACATTTCAATACAATTCAATAATCAAGATTAGAGTGGCCAGTGGGACATACGAATGCTAGCACTGGAAGAAAAACAAAGAGATGGTCATACTTGATAGTTTTAGAATTATTAATAAAGTTTTAATAAAGTTAAAGAACCTTTGATATCTTCTTCCTTAGAAATATCTTTTTTTAATAATATATTTTTTTAATAATTTCTTTGAGTGTACCGTACCATCTATGGCACAATCATGAAAATAAACTAATAATATTTCCAGCACCTCCGATTCCGATAAGCCGCCTTCGACTATTTAACTATTTGGACTGTTGGACAACCAGCAACGTTTACACGCTGCGCCAACCTGATTGCTACTTTTCCCAACCCGATCCACCCCCCCTAAGAACCACTCATTTCTTGGGAGGGGGTTTGGGCCATATCAGCGATATGTCTCACAACGGCTGGACAGTTATTTGGTCGATCGTCGTCGTTGGCCAGTCAGACCCCAAAACATTTCGATCCGATCCGATCCGATCCATTTAGGGGGGGCATGCATGACCGTCATGTCAAGTGCAAACGTGCCGCTTATCGGCCCCAAAGGGATTTATTCGAATATGATTCGAATATGGGTACTAAGACACACTTAAGAGTCTTAAGGGTCTAAGAATATCCAAAATATAAGAACTATCTAGTACAGATTATAAAAGAAAAATAATTAAATAGGGTTTTTCCATCCTTTACTATATCTGCAACGTCTTATTTATTCATCATGACTAGTCGTTATATTTGTTTTTAAAAAATAAAATATAAAAAAAGGTAGACCATTCGTTATGTTTGCCCAGCTCTTTGGAAGCGAATTGGGTAATGGGAACAAGGCAGTTATAGTCCGATTTCGAATCCGATTTCCAATTCCGATTCCGGCGCCTCAAGGCACTTGTCATTGGCTGGAGTATCTTGCAACACTCGACCCATGGCGATTTCCGAATGTTCTCGGACTCACCTGAATTTGGCATTGATAATGCCCCCAGACTACAGATAGAGATACACCGGTACAGAGATAGAGATACAGATACAGATAGAGCCAGTTTGTAATGAAAAATTGATTAAAGTATATATTGGTGGGACGTTCAAATAATAAATTTATCAGAAAATAAACGTGGAAATTAAACACAAAGCGTTATAGGGGCAAATAAATGAGATTACAATTAATAAAATAATCGATAAGTGCATATATACATATTTATATAGAATTGCCCCGATATTGGCCGATACGATTGTAGACAAAAAGTTAATTAGTTTGATGGTCTATGGGGGGAGTTTATAAGACTAATGCTTTAGGGATTTCCAGTAAAGGATTATAAGACTGAAGACTTGTAAGTGTTGTAAAGTGGACTTTTGGCCATAAAACCACCATGTGCATAATTTTGGCCAAAATTTAAGCTTTTTAGCCTGGCAATGCTCAATGTGAAAAAAAAACACGTGGCACAAGTAGGCTGTGGACCCATATTCTAGATCAAATTTTTGAGACCCAGAGCCCCAAATAATTTATTCCTCATTCAGTTTCTGGTGCTCACACTGAAAAGACCTTTCGACACATTTAGTTTTCGGTCCAAAATTAAATAAATTTTCAGTTATTTTTCATTTTTATATTTTTTTTTCGTGCTCGTTCGGATATTTAATTTTTCGGTGAAAAAAAAAGAATAAAAATTCGAAATAAAATTCGTGCAAAATTGTTTATTCAATTCGGAATGCAGGCTCCGGTACTGGGCTACTTCTGCAACATGTGCGCTGAAGTGCACCGCTATGTCATCCCTTTGTATGGCAATGAGTCCCGCCGGCTGGAGCTGGTGGACAAAATGGAGAAGTATCTGTTCGTGAGGGTTCACGAATGGGTTCCACTGCCCAAGACCATCTGCCGCAGGTGTGTCCTAGTCGTTCTGCAGGTGGAGCAGTACTACTTGCATCTGACCCGATTGGCGCTGGTAATGTATGAGATTATACCAATAGACCTCTGTAACATGGCCCCAACACAGGAGCTAGCCGGCCTGGCACCGCCCGAAGAACCCATCGACCTGACGGTCAAGCCATCACAGCCGGCCCTGCTTGGCCGTCCACCATTCCATGGGAACCACCAATAAGCTGAGCAAATCCCAGGTAAGTAGGCCTTTTATTTTATTTTCAACTTTTCTATAAATATTTTTTATAAAATTTATTTTCATTTAGAAACTGCCACACATACAAATATAACTTTCCTTTTGAAATACTCGTAAGTTTGGAATACTTTCCCCCATCACTTTTTATTAATCGCAGGACTATATATTACAGTATCAATGCCTCCACAAATGCCTCTTTTGTGGATTATACATCTGCACATTTTATATAAATACTTTTGTAAGTATACCATAAAATGGTATATCTATAGTATGCTCTACTAATAATATATATATTTTTTCAGAATATTAATGCGGAAAATATATAATTACTTTGATAATGAAAAGGGTAAACTAAAACTGAACATAAACTAACTAAACTAACACTACAGGACTAATATTTTTATATTAGTCAAAAAATGCGTTCTTTCTGTAAGTTATTTTCATATAAAAATTATTTAAAATTAATTTGTTTTTTTTTTACAGCATTATATTTGCATGGACCGTAAATGAATATAATACACAAAACTTGGCGCAAAATAGCACAAAACTCTAATGTCACATTTGGAAGTAAGTATTGCAGATATTCTAAAAAATAGATATATATATTTTAATAATAATTTATTTTTTTAGTTAGCTCGAATATTAATTCCAAATGTGTGAAGCACACTTATGTAGATACATAAAAAATGGAACGAATAAGGCGGCTTAAATGGTAACATAATTACCTGAACTACATATATATTGTTGTAAGATTATTAAGAGATATTCAATATACATAATACTAATATTTTATATATTACAGAACATAAAAACAATATTACGGCGAAAACTAACACATTTAATTAATAAAAAAAAAACATAAAAATGTAACTATTTGGCAACGTTTGTATTGCACATTCACAACACATCTTTGACACTAGCAGTAAGTGGTCTTAACTTTAAAAATATTTATTTTAAATTTTAATTTAATTCTTTAACAGTGAACTAACTAAGCGTACAACTTTTTACACTTTGATGATAGTTTTAGCACAAAACTCTACACCAGCATTGGCACATTTGGAAGTAAGTTTTACAGACTTTCTTCATAAGTTAAATATATTTTAATAATTATTTATTTTTTTTTATAGTTTATCGATCAATAAATTCCAAATGTGGGATGCTGAAACTATACACCTATATGCGCTGATAATTTTTACTTGCTTTATAATAATAATAACACTGGCTGATGATAATAATAATATATATGATATAACTATATGGAGTTACTTTCTAGCGTGGTAAGCTTTAATTGATTTTACATGCATCTTGTTTATATTTAAAATAATTTAAAATCTTTTAATTCTTATATATTTTTATAATTTAACTAATTCATATATTTTTTATTATTTTATTTATAGGTAACTTGAACTTTATTTGGAACCGAACTACCTGATACGAGGCATTGATCAGTATTTCAAAAGGAAACGACATACTATATAGTATACATATATAATACACTGCCAACAGCAAATTGAGGATCTGAGGCGCGGCGGACATCTCAATTTGCATTTTTCGAATAATAATATCAACAACTAAGACTGACTGCTAACCCCTAATACTAACTCAACAGACTAGCCTATGTATACCGATGTCTATGTCTGTCCATGTAGTAATAAAGAGCCAATAAATGGCTATAAAATGCAATTTTGCAATTTCGCAATTTTATTTTTGTAACAAAGTCGGGTTTTACAGTCTCACCCCCGCGGGCCCAATGTAATTAGCCATAAACCCGAAGGATAACTGAGCGGAAAGGAAAGCCTCCTCCCCCTTCCCCCCAGTGGGTTGGTGGGTGGATTGAAAAATCAAATCAAATTAAGTTGCAAGTTGATGGTTCTCTCTTTTTTTTAATAATGTTGTTGCTCATTTGGGAAGCAAAGTCATTATCTGCATGTAATTTCTCATTTTCATAGTCAATTAAGTCAATCACACGCCCTTTTAGCCACCGCAAGGATATTTGGTAAAGCTGGAAAGTTGAAACAAACCTCCTCTCCCCCCCTTTGGTTGTTACATTTTTGGAAAATTAACACGTTTGTGATGGTGGTGCGGTGGTGCGGTGATGGAAGGGTGGGTGGTGGTGTGTTTCCGTTTCCGCTTTTGTCAGCCGCCCCCGTCGACCACCACAGCCGGCCCCGGCTTTTGTTTATTTGCTCCGCGAGTTTATTGCTCAATTTTTGATACAAAAGGACGAAACGAAAGTCCTGGCACTGGCATTGGCATAGCCATATTACGTATTCATCGATGACTGGCGGCATATAAAGGATGAGGTGTGTGGATTCACATCCACATCCACATCTTTCTTCCACCCTTGTAACAATTTGAAGCACTATAGCGACACGTGGCAGCTGCTTTTAAAATTGAATTTCCTGCCATGTAATCTTGTCCATAAAGTCAATTGTTTCTATGTGGCTTTCCACCCGCACGTGTATCCTTTTATTTATTTTTTTTTTGGGTTTTTGTCTGCCTCCCCCCCCCTCCTTTTACTGGCTGGTTCACACTTCTTATGCGTATTTATTTATGAAGATGCGGCCAATATGTTTACGATTTGCTGACCCACAGCGCTATGACACTATGGACAGACAGGAGGTTTACTTAATGGGTGTGAATTGGGCTTTTGTTCGTTCCACAGATTCCACTTTCCAAATGGGGTGTGAACAATGGTCTTGTGGGTGGGTGGGTGGATGCATTGGCAAGGACATGCCGGGATAACGGGGATCAGCAGGTCGCTTTGGTATCATAAATTGGTAATTAATCGAGGGGAGAAAATAATCAAGAGAAATGGTTGATGAGCAATGCTCTGGACTCGGTTAAGTTAATTAATTTTATTCTTGTCTAGATCAGAGAGTTATATTCCTGATCGCAGTTGTCTAAAGAATTGGACATGAAACATATATATACATATTAATTTAAAAGAAAAGACACAGCCTACTGTAACCCAAAAAAAAACATAATTCACTTTAGAATAAAAGTTTACTTTTTAAACAAAACTACCTTTTGGATTTTAGATTGATTCCTAAATTTTATTCCGACTTTGAATCGTTTAAAAAATATCTTATAAGAGGTGGATGAAAAATTTCATTTTTATACCCTTGCAGAGGGTATTATAATTTTGGTCAAAAGTGTGCAACGCAGTGAAGGAGACATCTCCGACCCTATAAAGTATATATATTCTTGATCAGGATCACCTCCTGAGTTGATATGAGCATGTCCGTCTGTCCGTCTGTCCGTCTGTCCGTCTGTCCGTCTGTCCGTCTGTCTGTCCGTCTGTCTGTTTCTACGCAAACTAGTCTCTCAGTTTTAAAGCTATCGTCTTGAAACTTTGCACACACCCTTCTTTCCTTTGCACGCAGTATATAAGTCGGAACGGCCGGGATCGGCCGACTATATCCTATAGCTGCCATATAACTGATTGATCGGAAATGGTATAACTTTGGTGTTTTTAGAGTTAGAGAGTTCAAATTTTACATGAGAGCTATTTTTGGCAAAATAATACGACATGCCAAATTTCATAAGGATCGGCCGACTATATCTTATAGCTGCCATATAACTGAACGATCGGAAATGACCCAACTTTCGTGTTTTTGAAGATAGAAAGCTGGAACTTAGTACAGATTTAATTCTTGGTCAGTTGATCCAACCTACCAAATTTCATTAGGATCGGCCGACTATATCCCATAGCTGCCATATAACTGAACGATCGGAAATGGTATTTGGTAGAAATATCAACTTTCGTATTTTTGAAGATAGAAGTTTGGGACTTTTTTTAGATTTTGTATTGTAATAAATTGGATTATATATTCCTATTCCCATAAGGATCGGCCAACTATATCCGATGTTTGCGATATATATCCGGTTTTAACTGCAAGGGTATATAAACTTCGGTTCCGCCCGAAGTTAGCTTTCCTTTCTTGTTTTAAATAAAAAATCCCCTAAAAAATGTCATCAATTTTTTGTTATTTTTAAAATGAAAAATCTGCATAAATTTCCTAATAATGGACAGATCTTAAAATGTTATACCTTCCCGATCTTAGAACTTCGAGTAGCATTATTTTCAATGAAAAAATAGAAATAAAAATTTTGAGCCATTTTTTGAAAAATTTTTAAGGGGTACCCTCATGATTTTTGACTAAAATTAGACCAAATTTTTTTCCTCTTGATAATTGCCATATTTTGATGCAGATTAAAGGGTAATAGAACGCTGTTTTATAAATGGTATTTCGTTTTAAAATCTGTTGTAAAATAACTAAAATACTCCCTAAAAACTTCGAAAAAAATCAAATTTTGAAAAAGTATAAAAATTAAGCTAATATTAGAATCTAGGCTAATATTATGTAGTGATTTATTGACTAATTCTAAGTTTATTTTATTCTAATTTCAGGCTGAAATATTTTACAATTGGAGCCCAACTATCGGAGTGGGAATAGAGGAATGGAACGATTTTTTCCTCCAGACAGTGTGACCGTTCCGGCAGTGGAAGTACAGTTGCAGGTAAGTGGCATTTTATGAATATTCCTAATTATTACCTTAAATTATTTTATAGATGGGTATTTATTTATTATAATTTATTCCATATATAAATCAAACACCAAAAAAATATTCCCTCGTGCAAAGTTCTATAAATTTGAGCCCCTTTTTGGTAACTCTATAAAATCCCAAATAGACTTCAAAATAGGTCCTTTGATTTTCCCACAGAAGCTAACCGTTCTCAGGCCTCTAATTAACATGTCAATAAGTCAGGGCGGGCTAGGGGCGGCCCATAAACCCAAAAGTCAGTCCAAGAAGTTACTAAAATAATTTCATTTACCCCTAATGGACATGGAAAGAGACAGCCCTCCGCTATAAAGGAGTTGCGTGCAAAACGTGCGCCATTAAAAAGCCACGAACATCAATTTAAATATTGCATTACAATGATTTGCATAAAGGACGACTCACGCACGCACACTCACTCCCACACCCCCCTCTCCAGGATCCCGGCTCGATGATATATCCTCGAAATCACAGAAGAGACTAAACAAAGCCCAAAACCCCATTAAACCAATAAAAATTTGCACTTTCACATGACCCGAGAGTGTTTTTTTTTTTTCGGTGGTTGCTGTGTGTGGTGGCTCGGTGTGGTGTCGATCGACTAATTTGAATTTGAATACCAACAACCACTGAACCACTGCAGCACTGCATCACCTTTGCACCTTTTGGACCGCCTTCCCACGACACTGATACGATGTGAGCCATTAGGAGGACAAAAGAGCAGAGCCCGAAGGACACCTGTGATAGGTGTACAGTGGGAAAAATTTGTGAAAAAATTTCTAAACTATTTCCCATTGATAGAAATTATATTTTCTTCAGAAAACTTATTATATTTTTTCTTCCAAGATCTCCCAAAATATATTTTAAATATTCTACTAACAACCCTAGTATTTTTCTCAGTATATCATAAAGGCTAAAGGATTTTGGAAAGCAAATAGAAAATAGAAAAACATAAACTAGACAATAGACAATAGAAAGGGTAAACTTCTCGCGGTCACCCACTCCCCTAAAAATAGAATTCAACCTTTTTGGCCTTTTATTGCATTATTATTGGTAAATAAACAAAAGGAAACAGGATCAGGCAGCAAGGATATGGTCATAGGGATAGGGACAGGGAAATCAATCAATGGAAAAGTCCTTGTTTTTCGTTGTTGGTGGCGGCAATTAGCGAAGCGACGTTGGAAATCGCGCCCAAAACGGAAGTCATTAAAAGGGTTCGCCTTGGAGTGTGTCCCATGTCCTGTGTCGCATATCCTGTGCCCAGCCCAACCCATCCCATCCCCACCCCCCCCACTCAGCAAATGCCTAATTGCGCGGGATTGAAATAAAGTGGTAGTGGAGTGAAGGGTTTTTGGTCAGTAATTCGAGAGGACACGCTCCGAGGGAGCTGCTGGTATTTTGAGTGGCTCCTGGAGAGGACACCTGATAGGGTCTGTATTTAGGAAAATATTTTAATATTTTATTTATTAAATTTTAAATATAAACTACTACTACTGATATTACTAGTTAGTAAGTAACTATACTCCTTAAATAAAATCTTAAGAATTCTTTAAGGATGTCCTCTAGTCCCCTTTCCACTCGTATTTCTTTTTTTTATGTCTCACAAAAAAAACGAGACCAGTTAGGTCACTGAAGAAGCAAAGTCCTTGGACCTTCAGTCCTTGGTCCTTAGAGCACCCAGTCATAAATCAGGGGTCAGCGGAGGAGTAAAGCACAACCGGACAATTGACGTCAACAATAAGTAACAATGATGTCAACTTGTAATTGAATTGATTGACAATATTTCATGTGGCCGGGCAGTGAGACATATCCGGCCATGGGGGGGGGGGGACAGGACAGCCAGGACATCGAGGACATGCAGGACATCCAAGGACCCTTAATGACAAAATTTGTTTAGATTAGCATTAATGGCCGGCAGGATGGGTGATGGGTGGGTGGAGTGGCCATAAAAAACCATCGCAAAGATTCAATAAAAATACTTTAAGCGGAAAAACAAACTTGAATGGCGATAAAAAAAAAATACAAAAAAAGGGGGAAAAGAACACCGCCCAGGCGATTGAAAAAAAGGGCCAACAAGGACATTCACAATATGTGTGTTTTTTTTTCTGGTGTCCTGGAAAAGG